TAGGAAAAAGGTTTCACTTTTAGCTTTCATCCCAGTTTTTGTTTTAAAATTGAAGTCCAAAATTTTTGTAGATATTTTATACACTTTCATTTCTAATTACTTGGAATGCGAGGCCTTGTATTCGTAGTATTGTAAAGTTAGAAATAAAAAGCATATCATTGAATGTGTTTTGTTCACTACTATAGATCCACTTCATTTAGACCGACAAAAAACCAGTTTACTGTTATCCCATTGGGAAGACTCAGGCGATAACCATGGGAAGATTACTATCTTCTCTGGCCAGAAAAGTGAGAAGCTCTGGAAGGGAGATTGATTGGCAAGCGCGGGTAAAGTACCTCGGTCTACTAATAGACCGTAGGCTTACTTGGAACCCGCACATCATGTGCGTCAAGTCAAAGATCGAGGGTCGGATAGCTAGTCTGTACCTTCTGGTCAATAGGAAATCTAAACTGAGCACAAAGAACAAAATCACCATCTATAACACGATGTTCAAGCCTGTCATCATGTATGCTTCAGGCGTCTGGGGACAAGCGGCTCCGTCCTACATTTCCATTCTGGAAAGGTTGCAAAATAAGTTAATTAGGATGATTGTGAATGCTCCTTGGTTCGTGCGGAATGAAGCCATCCGCAGAGATTTGCAGCTGCCTTCCATTCGGCAGTCCATCCAGTCGAAGAATCAGAGAGCTCTTGAAAATACGGAAACTCTTGAAAACCCGTTAGTTAGGGAAGCCACAAATTATGCTGTAGACGACCCCTCCCGATACAGAAGGCCCCGACACTCTGTCGAATGAGGCCCTCATGTCCCCCGTTAACGGATGAACAACCTTCTCATCCATCCCACCCCAGCCAGGTAGGGGTATCTCGTGAAGGACTGCATTGATGTATGAGGACTTCATGCCGTCATACCATCAGTCACGAACCCATTGGTCCTTCTTGAGACCAATAATCAGCCAAAAGGGTAGGGGAGCTGGACTCCAAGCCTGAATAACACGAAGATGACCTTCCATCCCACTGGGAAGTTCCCAGGTAAGTGTAGTCGTTCAGTAAAACAGATATTTCACTACTTTCAACAAAAACACCATTTTATCAGTTACCACTAAGTCGACTCTCAAAGCACAAAAAAACGCCTAGAGGCTCGTGTTGTAGTGCAGTTGTTGCATTTTTGTAATGTTCCGTGAAAAGAGTGTTAAGTATAAATACGTTTCAAGTGGTCATTTTTTTTTAAGTGAAATATAGGTTGTTCACGTTAAGAGAATGACGTCACAAGATGACAAGTTACGGCGTTGCCAACATGTGCACTATTTCGAACTTGAATTTTTTTTTGTACTGTTGATGTGTTTTATTGCTATTTTCCTTACTTATTTTTAGTATTTGTTGGGACTATTTCGAATATGCTTTAGGCATATTGAATACACGCAGGTCTTATCGAAAGAAATTATTAGTTCTGAAAAGAAAGACTGACAGTTTTCGAGTTTTTTTCTATTCGGCAACGTCTGAAATTTTAATATCAGTTGAGCAACTTACAAAATGAAATGTTACTAGTTTCATTGCTGTTGAATGCATTTCAGTGGGAATTTTAACGTTGTTTTATTGGATATACAAAATTACCAAAAATTACGTCATTCTCTTAACGTGAACAGGCTATATAATTTTCAACATGAGAAAAATACACTACTCCTAATGAGTTTTCTTCAACTTTTTGAATCTCCAATACTATCGTGATAATAATAATAAAATTTTCACAATAAATTGGAGCTCATTTCCATTGAATTAACTAAGTATTCACCGAGACATTACAGTTTAAAATACTCATAAAAACGGACAAAACTTTTCGATTGAAACAACTTAATACATAGAAACATCGCAAGTTGAATAAAAGCTTGTAAATAAAACACTTTTGTTACTTTAACCTATATATTTATTATTTCTTTGACAAATATGTATGATAAAAATAACATAATTACACATTTCTTCTACAATAAAAAGTGTCAGAAAATGTTTACCTCAGTTATCAATTATCCAATTGAACGTTCGTAAAATACAGAAACATTTTAAAATTAAACTGTTAGGTTCCAAAAAAAAAATCTTAGTTACGCACGAAAACAATATTTTAATATTGTTACTAGTTATTCGCGTAAAAGGGCAGTTCGATCAAGTTATCAATAAACTCGCCAACATGGTCCGCAAATTCAATAAACATTCCACTTGTTTTTCATTTCATTGTTCAATTAGACAAATGAACTTTCGGCACAAGAAAAAAATATAAAAAACACTTAGGTACAATCATTGATACATATTAGGGTTTGGCAATAACCAGAAAATAAATACCTAGTCGTTAATGGTGAAGAGGAAAATTCGAGAAATTCTGAGAAACTAACTTCGAAATCATAAATGTGCTGAACAGCTGAATATTTGAGAAGTCATTACATTTATTTGTGCCTGTTTTAACGACATAATCAACAAATTCGTTCGGACCATTTCCAGGGACATATTTTAGGAAATGAAATTGATGCTCTAATTTATATATAAAAAACCAAACGAGAATGTTAACTTATACAGGAGAATGATGCAGTCAATGCAATGAAAAAGAGATGTATAATCTGATGACCAGCCAGAAACACATGCCTGCAATTTGCATGTTTTCTGAGTGCTTCGTCCATGAATTTTCACTGCTTTTGGAAAGTTTCAAACCCTGATATCAATTCGACTACATGGGAAAATTGTATTACCTCCACTGAATTTCGCTCTGTAGAAATATCAATTCCTTACTGCACAAAAGAACACTAATGAAAGATGAAACTAAAACCCAGACACCAGAATTCAAAATTTAGTTCCGTTGTTTGAGAAAACTGCTTGTTTTGGAAGAACACTAATATTCAATATATTTTCCGATGAATCAACGTAATTTTTCATAGAGGAAAACAGAGTTTTTGGCCTTTTTCAGAACTTACAAGTGGCCTAGAAGAGATAGATAATCCACAACTTGAAAGCAGAAAACAAATTAAATTGAGTAGAGTATTCTGAAAAAAAAAGAGCACTAATTGTATTCAGCACGGGGCAGAAAGTCTCAGAAATACCAAACGAAATTTAGCATGTTTCTATGAATGCTATTGCCCAATCCCAAATACATGAAATATATTTAATGTCTCTTGATTTTCTCCGTCAGTATTTTTATTTTTTATTTGGGCCTTTTCCATCAAAGTTAAATGACAGAAAAAATCCACTGTTTAAAAAGATGTTAACAGATTTGAAATCCATGAAAAATATAAAATACTTTGTTAAGAAGCTACAAAAGTGGATACATCTACTAATAATGTTGTCATAGATGACGAATCTCACTTTTGAGCATTGAGTTGCCAATAGCTACATTGATTCCCTGAAAATAGTTGACATTTCCAAAATTCCTTTTGAAAATTTGTTTCATTTATAGTTTCTCCTTGAAGATGATCACTTGGTGATCGAAACACATGTCAAGGTGTTACAATAACCCTTTGGGATAAAACTCCAGTAATATTGATTTATTCAGTTTAAATCTGTGATGTTTTAAATTATGTGACTACATATATATAGGTAACTCAGTTCTCAGATTATCATGATCATCATCATTGTATGTTATTTATGGTCCTTTCCACAGACTTTTGTGAAAACGGACCAAGAACTGATCTTTGTGGAACCCCAACAATCATAAATGATATATTCAAAAACACATTTCAATGGAACAACTGAAATGGCACCAATATTCACAAAAAAGGATATTTTGCTTAAAAACAGTGCCAGGAAAAATTTTACTATTGACATGGAGAAAACCTAAGTTATTTGCATTGATCATCATCTCCTGATAATGTCGATTTGGTTGACGAAACGTGCACAAGGATTATTTCTTGAAGTCCTCATGTGCGAAAAATTTTAGCAGAAATGAGCTTCCTGTTCTTGGTCGCTATTTTCATGTCGCCATTTATGAAAGCAAAAAAGAAGCTTGGCCATTTGCATTTTTCTTCACATATCAGTGAAAATAATAGTGTCAAAATAAATGATCTTGTAGTTAGTTTCTCATCATTTCAAGATAAATAATAGTTACGATGCCAACAACAACAACAAAAGTTTAGGGATACAAAAAGGAATGCAACGGTCATGATTACTTATACTGTGATTTGAACTGTATTTTAGTAAAAAAATATAAAAACAAAGAAAGCTGGCTATATAGATTAGTATTTATACAACACGAATGTAAATAAATTTTCCGTTAATATTTGAAGGATGAAAATTTGGAAAATGTGTCAAATCAAACAACTCTATTCGTGTCAAGTCCCTATTGTAGTTATAATGATAGTAGTCTTTAATTTCCTTCCGACAAATGACGTTTCCTTCCTGACTGACAGATGACAGAAACATATAACCTCACATTTTATACTGAAAGAAAACATACCGACTCGTTTCACAACGATAAAAATCATCTACTTTCGGGATCAGTTGATAAGTATAGAGACTGAAACTGGAAACGAGTTGTTGAAAACCATATGGGTTCAAATAAAGACGGTTCGATATTTACATCCACTATACGTTAATGTCGATATAAATCAGAGAAGTGATATGTTCATATTAATTCAACAAAAACGGATAAGGTGAGCTATCTATTTACACAATACAATAAATAATTTTGCATCGAGAGTGTTGAAAAGCACCAAATTCGTCCTTGAAATGATATAAAAATACAGAGGTAGTATATGGTAGGAATGAATTAACTAACACTATGAAACGAATCTGTAAAAAAATGGCAAGATATCTAAAACTTAGTATTGTTTGCTGTCCTGAGGGTAGTTTACTTTGCGACTGGTACGAAATCAAAATTGTCTACAACAAAAATACACATACGAGTCCTGAATCGCGACAGCTCGTTCTCGTCTTATAAATCACCCTGCAATGCAAATATCTTGTTTTCCGTTAGGATTAACCCTGTAAAAGCGAGCTACGTTATATTGTATGTCACATACTAAAATTACTTCCAGGTTTTCTCATTTGAAAGCAACTTTTTGTGAATTTGAAGTGAATATTTCTCCAACTTTAATTTGTGTTAATGAAACTGCTAGCGCATTATGTATTTTAAACTGTTTTTTTCTTTGTTGCGGTCTGAAACCCAAAAATTATTCGAAATGTTCAAAAAAGCTACAGCTTTCACAACAAAAAGCCATCTGGATTCTGGCAAATGTTCAATCAACTTTTTTTTATCATGTTAAAAGTGAATTTATTTTTTTTCTGATTAATTTTGGAGAGTTCAAAAAACTTGAAAGATGGAGAAATATTCAAAAAATACCAACAAGACCGTTAGTGAGCAAACTGAATTCAAATTTCCAAAAAATGCTATTACAAATTGAGAAAAGGAGAACCAGAAAAGTCTAGTAATATATTTTATAATTCATGCTAAAATTGCAAAAAACTTGATATTTTCGAAAACAAAATTATTTCACTGATCACATTCTAAATTCCTATTTAAAGCTATTAAATTTCTCAAGGGCATCCCCTCTTCAATATGTCGAATTATCAGTCTTTACAATTTTCCTTCATCTTGTTTCCGCCATCTTACCAAACAGAATTTTCTGTGAGAAACTAACAAATATACAATTTTCCGAGTAAGCCGATAAAACGGTCAAAAAATATTACGTTTCTCAACAAATAGAAATCTATAATTATATTCTATTGCTTCTCTTTCTAACAGACATGAATATTAAAAATATATTTATATATTCAGTAATTTTTTCTTCGTTTTCAAACTTAACATTCAATTGCACAAATTCAAGAATCTTCACACAAAATTCCTAATTCTAAAGTTCATCAAATATGTTTATTCAGAGAAAATATTCTAAGGGGTTAGTTTTACGAAGAAGATTTTTCAGAAAACTGGCTAGTCATAAGGCTACCTCTCCCTCATATGTGGCTGACTTTTTTCAAAGTGACATGGAAAAAAAATGCTGACTCCTAAAATTTGACATTCATCAATTAATTGTTTTTTCTTCTTCAATATTACTAGTGATTAAGATTTTCAATTCTTATATACTTGTATTTGCACCTCAACAGTAATTTTATATGACTGATTTTGAAAAGTTTATCTTCCTGGAGATGAGTACATTTTTTCAAGCACACTATTCATCAGTAAGAGTCTAAAATTATTCATATGTAGGAGCAACACGGAAGTGAGGAAAGACAAGACTCATGAATTGCCAATTTTTGAATGTGGATACACCAAATAAAAGTAACAATTTTTCAGTGAAAAAAAAAACCCAAACAAAACTAGGAATGGGCAAGAAAACAATAGTTTTTTTTTAAGAAAAAATTGATCCTGTTACTAAACCAACTTTTCCTCAGAAAAATTATTGGATTACCAAACTAGTCAACAAAACTAGGAATATTTTTTGTACAAACTTTTAATCAAATTCTCTTTTTTGCGGTATCTTTGTATCATTTGAAAAAATAATCAGTTTTATGGCTTGCAATAGTTCCATGACAAAATATGCGTCTTTTTATAAGGTTATGTAATATCTTTGACAGATGACACATCTTTGACTTGAGACAGATGTCAAATTCATCAAAGTGTCACATTTTCTAGAATAAAAAATTGTTACTTTCAATTGGCATTCTCAATTTCAAAAAAATAACACACATATATAATAGAAGAGATAGTATTTATAGAAAGAGGTATATGTATATTCCAGGGTGAAACGAAATAACATACCATTCGTCCACAAAGTCTGTATCATATGGTAATTTCTTTCCTTGAGAGAATTTTACGAAATGACAAAAATGATGCTCAAAGTACTTTTGTGAAAAAATAAAAGTTGTTCTTTTCTACACCTGAACTTTTTATTAACTCGATAATAAAAAAAGTTATATTTATTTCTTGATTTTTTTACTACATACAATTCATATAAACTAATATTGATAGGAATATCCTCAAAGAACGCAAAAATGAGTGACTAAAGTTGAACAATAAGAAATTTAATAATAACAATAATAATAAATGACAATTTACCACATTATTATTATTAGTACTCATGTCAGCTCTTTATGCGTTACATCACAAAAAAGTGCATCTTCAATGTAACTTTTTAGAGTTCTTTTTCATCATAAGTTGTCATTTCAACTGAAATCCAGGTTGACCAGTAAGAAATTTCATCATCAAGTGACCTAAAATTTGAAGTTTCAGTTCATAACTTTAAATTTTGGTGACTAGCTATTTTTAATTTCATTTTATATCAACCTTTTTTGCGAAATTTTTGCCCTAATGATTCAACGTTCACCAGTTAATTTTTTTATGTCAAACTTGCCACATCCTATATAGTTAAAACAATTACTTCTTTGCTAATCATCTCCTGGTGACGGTAACGGTTAGCGAAACGCTTGTCAAGAAACAATATTTTTTCTGGCATGGAAAAACTTGTTTTTGACACGAATCGCATGTTACCAAAGAATCTATTTTCGCTGTCGAAATATTCGGTATAGGAAAGTTCATCTTCCAGATATGACGTCTATCACAAATAACAAGAGTAAGTTGAACGGTAAAACCTAAATTCTTTCAACACTTAATAATAATCGTACGGAAAAGCATTACGCTTACAAATTCTCAAACAACTCGAAACGCAGCAAACCTCAAAACGTTAAACATAACCTAAGTTTCAACAATCAGCTGTCACCTGTCACATCTGTCAGATTCTTAACGTCTGCTTCTTTTTGTAAAAATATTCATTTGACTTCCAAGTCCTTTTTTATTTCATTTTTATTTAGAATTTTCTGTTCCTAGGTACTCTTTTTCGGTTTTTTTTGATATTTTGAAAATAATATTGAAAACACCAAACTTTTCAATTCATTTTATATCAATTCTCTGTGTTATTTGCTTCAATATGCCTGTTTACAGAAAAAAATACAAAAAAATATAGCTCTGCAATAATTTGCCGTCACATTTGAAGTTTTTGGGAGTAAACAAAGTTGATAATCGTTGATGCTCTTTCATTTTGATTCGGTGAACGACTAACAATAACGAAATCTTTGAAAATATAAATTCTAACCAATAAGCCTGAACATTGAGCATTATTTCTTTGGGATAACGTGGCATTTCAAATATTCCTATCGAGAAATTCCCATATGATACACTCCTTTCGGAAAACACAATATTCAGGTGCAACAACAGTTACGTTACAAGTTCTCGATAACCATCGACTATATTTCCATTTTCTCAAAGTATTATACTTTCCAAGCCGATTGCAACTGTTGCCAAACGTGTGCACCTGTCAAAAGACCCTTCCGAATATATTCAGAAATAAAATTAAGAATACACCTAGTATTTCCGCTGTCTTCTTGTAACCTCAACGTTATTAGAACAAACGACTAAAGATATATTTTTGCACAACATACTTTTCTAGCACAAATTTTTTAGGTTATCATGACCTGCGAAATGAAAGTAATGTGTCTACCAATCGCTTCGATTTTACGGCATGAAAAGTACTAGTTCTTTTAGTTCCGAATAACAGACCTGCAACGATGAAGCATCTCTGGCAAAATGACAGGTGGAAGTTTTTTGAAAGACAATCAACTCCACATCAAGTGGTTGTGCGTAAAAAGAATCACTGGTTAAAGAGAAAGTTTAAGGAAGTCACTAGCTTACTATTATAAGAACGAATGTGCACGAAAATTGAACCATTTTGAGTGATTTCATTTCTATTTTTCTACTTTGCAATATATTTATTGTTCAGTCCAATGATTAATGTTGTCAAATTCAAATTAATTTTGATTCAAGGGTTATATCCTGAGCCCATCAAGTTAGGTTGCTTAAAAATTGTGCAAAACTCATAATTAGGAGCAAATTACTTGAGTTAATGATAATCTTCCTCCTATCAACTCATCTGACACGAAACACCTCTTTCAAAACACCGATCAAGCCGACAACCTAAAAAATTCAGCGACAACAAATCGATAAAATCTACACTTATAATAGTTACATCTAGGTCATTTTGAAAAATCAAATATTAAAAATACACACTTCCTCAAACGGAACCCATTTCTTGAAAGTTTTTTCTCTATTACAAAAACTCTAATATCCTCAATGTCACCACACTAGTTGAGAACAAAGAAGCATGTGTTTTCGTATAAAAATCGGTGTATAAAAAAATAACTTCCGTAATCTATTGGCACATTAGAAAGGAACTGAAGGAGAAACCCAGTATATTCCCCCTCGAAAAAAATCTAACCAGAGGTTCCTTGACGTTTTCCGCATTTTCAACCTCCCATAATCTGAAAATTAATAAATCTAAATCCAATCACCCTGAAAAGTTCTGTATACTGAAGAATGATTGAAGAAAAGACATTTTTATAGCTAGTTTCCTTAAAATGGCTGACGTTTTGGAAAGTAGCTATTTTCTGTCATCAGAAACCTATAAATTTATAGGCGAAAAATCAAGTTCCATAAAAAATAAACGTTGGGGTACCCCAAGGATCTATCCTTGGTCCTCCCCCTTTTTTACACTATAACTAACTGAATTACAAATGTTTCTTTGAAGGGATTGGTTAAATCATTTGCTAATCGTTCTTTCTAGGGAGCTATGACAAAATTGAAGATGATATAAAAACATATATGAAGACAATTTTAGGTTTGCAAAAAAAAATCCATATGAATACTTCTTTAAGATTATTGGACAGTTGAAAAGAGTAAATAAACTCCATAAAGCAGTAAAATTGTTATAATTTTTCAATTCTTTTGATATATATATTTTTTTACTCTTGATATATCAATATTTATAACAGCAGTCTATTAGATATTCAAGTAATATTTATTGCTTTTGAATGTAATAATGGTGGAATGAAAGCCTCAGATATAAATCGTAGTCCAACCGATTATTTATTTGAAGAATATATGCCTCTAAATACAACTAGAGAGAAATTTTTAGGAAACAAAAAATAATTTCATTAGTTTTCCTTGCAAAAAACTAGTCGAAAATAATATTCAATGGAATCAAGAAAAGAGCGATGTAGATCATTTAATTATACAATCAATAACCTTCTCGTAGTTGCTGTTGTTACGGAAGAAGATATTGATGTGTCCATACTGATGGCTTTACCAGTCGATGATAAAGAAATGATTTTTAGACCTCTAAAAATAATGCCTCACCCAAAGTTCATTTGGCAAAAGCCATGTTAACGAATCATTCCAATATTCCATTCATGCATTCCCTGGACATAAATACTACTGCTTTTTGAAATAAAAAAAAAAATACTCATTAAAATTTTAAGTAAATTTTCAGATAATGGGTGATTTTTTTGCTGGTATCTTTTTGGCACTGTTTTTGACAGATCACGCGTGAATCGTATTTTGTGTCATTGTCAAACTTGTTCAATTTGGTCTAAAATTTAACCATGAATCGACTTACGAATGAACAACGCTTGCAAATCATTGAATTTTATTATCAAAATTCATGCTCGGGGAAGAAAGTGCATCGTGCACTTCTTCCAATTCATGGGCAGTTTCGTCGGCCTACTGAGGGAGCTATTCGGAAGCTTGTGACTAAATTTCGAACCCAGTCTACACATTATTGGACATTAAACCACCAACACGCATACGTAGAGTGAGGACCGATGAAAATATTGCGGCTGTATTCGCCAGCGTTCGTGATGACCGTGAAATGTCGATTCGCCGCCGTTCGCAGCAATTGGGCCTCTGTTACTCCACTACGTGGAAAATTTCGCGAAAGGATCGTGTGATTTAACGCCTTTGGATTATTTCTTGTGGGATCATGTTAAGACTCATTTCTACAGGAGTAAACCAACAACGACTGACGCTCTGGAACCCAATATTGAAGCATTTATACGTGAAATACCGGTCGATATGTTAGAGAGAGTGTGCCAAAGTTGGATCTTGCGCATGGGCCATCTAAAGCGGAGCCGCGGATAGAATTTGCACGAAATCATCTTCAAACATTAAATTATATTGATCGTTCTATTGATTCCAATAAAGATTTCATCAATTTTTTCTGATTTTTTGTGTTGTTTTGAAAATCAAATCCTATACCTCTTAAAAAATCACCTGTTAGTTGTAAGCATCAGCTAGACTTCCATGGTTGGAGAACCGAGTGAAGAAGCACTTTTTAATTAAGGTATTTATTATATTCTCACAATGTATGAACTGACATACTAGAGTTTGAAAGCATCAGCTTCTAAAAACAAGAGTGGTATCCACTCTACGTGAACCAAAGTGAATTATTGCTAGACCCTTCGAAACCAAAGTCTCATTATATTGTGTAATGTATCAAAGTCATTTGACACGCAATATTTTTGATATCAAACCATATATCTGAATTGCATTTCTTTTAAAATTATATACTGTCAACTCCAGTTACCATCCATCTGCTCATATTTTGTAAGAACTGTAAGGGCGCTTTAAAGGGACAATAAAATAAAGAACATAAAAAAATAACCTGCAAAAGAGTAGGTGTTCATAATGATTAACTTCAATTCCTGCAGTGTTAAAGAATTAATTGTCAATTTAGTATATTTCTGAAAACACTATACAACTCAGTTCTTTGCCTATGACAAAGGACGCAACAAAATAATAGGAATATACTTTCAAGTTCAAAAACAGAAAGGTAATGCTCTAATACCTACTGCAGAAAGGGGTTGGAAAAAAGATTAGCTAAAATCAATTGAAATGACGCAACATGAAGCTGTTTCCCAGAAATTTTTCTTCAGAGGCATATATTATTTAATTGAATAACCGATTGAAGTGTAACTTATATATCTACGTTTTCCCTTAGATGCATAAGTTCCATTTCAAATTTGGTACCACAATTATTATATGAATACCTATGAAAACACTATACAACTCAATTCATTGCCTACGACAAAAGACCCAGCAAAATAATAAGTTTACTTTCTGCAGAATGGGGTTAGAAGAAAGATTACTCAACATCAAACAAAATGACGCAACATGTAGCTGTTTCCTAGATGTTATACAAGTGAATATAAAAAAGGAATTTTTACAAAAAAAATCCACGCAAATCTTAATTTCTTATATCATATTATCATTCATTATGTCAATAATCATGTCAACACTTAAAAAACCTTCCTGGTTTCAAATAAGATAATATAACCAGAAACTTAAAAAAAAAACATTGAAATCGGAGCTGTCCGAATATTTCTGAAGAGTGCCTGAACAGTTCCTCTTCATAAACATCCAATTTTTTTCTGGGATATGATAATAATGAAACCGCCTCAATTGGAAATATGTAAAAATCTTTTGGCAAGTGTCAAAAAAATAAAATGTATACATGTCACATTTGTCGGCCATTTTAAAAAAGCTAGAATTTTCAATCAGTTACAAAAATTCATAAATACAAGTCACTGACTCTACAGAACTCCAAACTAGGCAGTAGCTTTTTGGGGTGAACCAGTTTTATTAATTTTTTAGATTGTGGAACATTGACTCCCCGAAAAAACAATGTCTTTCAAAGAACCCTAACCGGAAACCAATCGATACGTTCATACCGAGTCCCCCTTCCAAAGCATTTCAGTAACTTAGGCTCTGTAGAAATATCGCGAGTGTGGTAACATGTACTTGCGTAGGTACTCGTTTAGATGCAGGTACGGATGTCCAGAACGCCAAACTCTCAGAAACGTCCTACGTATATTCCTAAACCGACCTACCTTGACCCTACGAGCAATCCTCCTTCAAAGGCGTCAGAACGTTCTCGTTCTCTATTCGCCAATCGATCGTCGGCTGCTGGTATTTCGTCTGCAACATTACACGTTCCATGACGCACGAAGCGGATAGTCTGGCTTCGGCGTCGTGATCCCAACATTCCTCCATCGTGTCACACATGGCGGCCAATCCCTGAAATTTGAATCCATTGATAGGGTGTACTAGATGGGTTGAACAGTTCTTAGGCTAGCACACAGATGGCGCTACTAGTATTGAATCCATGATTTTCAGTTAACCCTAACCCTCAAAAGACACGTGTACAAATTTCACAGCTGTAGGACTATTAGTTTGTGGGATAGAACATTTTGAGTGAAGCAAATGTTGCAAGTTTTAGGAAAATTATTAAAAATGACTTTTGTGTGTCCATAAAGCATTCCTTTTTGACTAAAAAAATACTGTTGAAGCCAAGGCTTAGTTTGATATACATTATTTAGACTTTGCACCAGGAAAAGTGTTTCTCTGGAGAGTTTGCGTAGATCTGAAAAAGTTTTAGAGTTTGATTGGGCACACATAAACAATTTTGATTCTATTTCAACTGTTTTACGGTGATCGCAGTCATATACTCACTGGGTGATGCCTCCAATGTTCGTGTATCCTCGGCCTAACTTTCTGCTGTACCACATGCTCCTGCATATCTTCCAAAGACGGGTGCTGCCCAACCTCCTCCTCAAAGGGCAGTCTGTATTCAGGAATGGGTCCGTCTTGAGCCGTACACCTTGATACTAGTTCCCACAAAACCAGTCCGCAGGCGTACATGTCGATTCGCAAGAAAGCATCCGGAGTGAAGTTGATGGCTCCTTCGAGGATCTCGGGGGCCATGTACCTTGAATGAATAAAGATATCTCAGATTTTTTAACTTTGCGCATGAGTGAAATTGTTGAGGGTGGAGATTTAGTGGAAATCTCACAATGAAGTTTCTTGAATGTGTTATGGATTTTCATCAAGTATTGGCCGATTACATCACATATTAGGCAATAATTTTTCAATTGTGAAGAATATAAGAACATAGTGTATACGGCACTATAAGAATATTTGTGGACATGTATTTCAATCATAGGAATATTTGCGAACAAGGGCATTATAAAAATATTTGTGGACAACTTGTACATTAAAAATTAACATATTTGGCTCGATCGTTATTAAAATATTTGTGGGCAGCTTGTAATTCATTGAAAATTGAAAATAAACTTATTTGGCAGGGGCATTATAAGAATATTTGTGAAAACCTGTGGTTCATTGAAAATTAACAAATTTGGCGAGGCATGATAAAAATATTTGTCTACAACTTGTAGTAAATTGAAAATGAACATATTTGGCAATGGCAATATAAGAATATTTGTGGATAACTTGTAATACATGGAAAATGAACATATTTGGGAGGGGCATTATGAGAATATTTGTGAATAACTTGTAGTATATGGAAAATGAACATATTTGGCAGGGGCATTATGAAAATATTCGTTAGCAACTTGTAATTTATTCAAAATTAACATATCTGGCAGACGCATTATAAAATATTTGTGGATAACCTGTAATACATTGAAAATTAACATATTTGGCAGGGACATTTTAAAAATATTTATGGACAACTTATAGTAAATTAAAATCAATATAGACACATCGGAAAAGTCTAGGGATATTTTTATAACATACTATATATAAAAATAAATGCATGAGGTCGTTTAATTTCGATTAAATTGGTACACTCGACCATCCTGTAGATTTCTATGGGTTGAACAAAGCCTGCAAAAACGGTAACTAATCTTTTATCAAGTTTTTTACAAATGTCGGCACCTTGTATTTAATTGAAAATTGACAAGGGCATTATAACAATATTTATGGATAACCTGTAGTAAATTGAAAAATTAACATATTTGGCAGGGGCATTATAAAACTTTTTGTCAGCAACTTGTAATTTATTGAAAATTAACATATTCGGCAGGGGTATTATAAAATTTGTTGTCAGCAACTTGTAATTTATTGAAAATTAACATATCTGGCAGGGGCATTATAAAATATTTGTGGACAACCTGTAGAACATTGAAAAATAAACATTTTTGACAAGGGCATTATAAAAATATTTATGTACAACTTGTAGTAAATTGAAAATTAACATATTTGGCAGGGGCATTATAAAACTTTTTGTCAGCAACTTGTAATTTATTTAAAATCAACATATCTGGCAGGGGCAATATAAAAATATTTGTGGACAACCTGTAGTACATTGAAAATCAACATATTTGGTAAGGGCATTATACTAAATATACTATATAAGGGTTTGTATTGTTCTTAAGCCTGTATTCCTAGAAAATCATACACTATTCAATGGTGAAGCATTGATAACATTCCATTGCTGCCTAAGAAGAAAAATAGCTCTTGCAATTTCTTTCTCAATGTCTCCACAGGAGGTTAGCAACCTAGTTATTTATCCAATATACTGCTAGTAAGTTCCCGCTAGACAGGGTGTAGCAGTTGTTATGTGTAGTCATTACAATTTTTGATGTTTTGGAATTTGTGTTTTGTTAGCTCTGCCTTCTAAAAAAATGAGTCTTTGATACAGAGGAATTGAATTTGTGTCATCAAAATTAAGAGACAAAAATAAAGTAGTGAACTGAGAACGCAATAATGGAGCACGCCGTTGGTGACATGCATATATCCAGAGGTGTTATCGTTTTGAAAAACTTGCTGGTAGAGGCTTAAATATGACCCAACAGGTAGTATGTCAGTTCCTCTGAATCCAGAGTAAAATTACAAAAAAAACTATTAAATACAAAATCAAGGGTCCTATCGAGGTTGCACCGTATAATAAATATCAGTACGTTCGCCCATTTCAAAACCCTTCACCATCTCTCTAATTACCCAAAAATCACTCACCTTCTTGTCCCCACCTGACCGTGAGTATCTCCGCAAGATTTTCCAGTCTCGAACACGATGGCCAATCCGAAATCCGCAATACAAGCAGTCATGTCGTTCTTCAGAAGTACGTTCTTGCTTTTGAAATCTCGATGAGCCACAGACGGTTTCATTTGTTCGCCTGGAAATTTTCCAGGAATCATCTCGTGCAAATGCATCAATCCTAAAACGATGGAACTGAAAGGTTACCCGAATTTCACACAAGAGAAACTCAAGAGGGTACTTACCCTTAGACATGGTTTCAGAAATTAGGCACAGCTCGTTCCAAGTTAGAGTGTGCGCTTTGAGATAGTCGCACAAAGATCCTTTCTCGTGGTAAGCGGTGATCAACCAGAATTCGGCTTGTAGATTGTCTCCCCTTTTCTCCACCCCGATATATTGTAAAATATTTGGGTGATCCATGCACGGGAGTCGGAAAATGTCCTGTTCCGTTTGCCAAGATTGTTTATCCTGAAAAGAAAGGCCTCTAGGTCACATTTGACTACATTGAGAGATGAGGAAATGAAACAGAAACTTCATAAAATGAATCCAACACAAACACCAGAGCTGGAATACAGTGAATGTTACAGCTACGATTTTTTTTACCTGGATTGGAAAAATCTTCACAGCGATTTCTTCACTTTTGAACTTTGCCTTCCAAACAGCTCCAAAGCGCCCTCTAGCTTTGATTTCAATAAGCTGAATCGGTCTGGAATCTAAAATTGGAGTTGCTGGTGGCATCGGATGTTGTTCTGAGGTAGGCAGCTGCAAAATGTATCAGGTAGATAAATAGTCTTTATTTGTCCAAACGGAAGGAATAACAAAAAATGGGGAATTTTCCTCCTGACGAAAATCAAGTAGTTTTCATGAAAGAGCTCTAAAACAACGCATTTTAAACTTATCATTTCAACGTTTTTCTTTGAAAAATTATTTAAATACTTAAAAAAGAGGAATGAAATAATGCATTCAACATTTAAAGGGATTCGTTTTTATTTCACCATTTGGCAACATCGGTTTTAGCTAATAAAGGACAATGAATCTGTTATCCCAACATTTGAAACATCAATTTGAATACTTTTCGAAGTGAATTTGAAAAACTCATGAATTGAACTCAACTTTATTTTGTTCAAACTTGCATTTGTTGTGATAACCCAAATTGAGGAACATTCCCCATTCTCAGACAATTATATAAAAGCTTGTTATAAGATATTTTGAGCTTACCCCATTGAAATAATGTTTGTTTCGTCTCGTCCAGTAATATATTAATCCAGCGACTAGCAATACAAGTCCTATAGCCATTACAATCAGAATATTGTAGTAAAAGTGATATCCTCCACCTTCATGTGTTGGTATTGCAGCTAAAAGATGAAACGATACAATCAATAATTTCGGTACTTACTAATAAGGTTCATTTTAATTTTCACTACAAGAGGTATACAAAACCACGACATGTCTTTTGCTATGCAATAGCTTTCTCAAGCTGGATTTCATAAACTACTTTTGGATTGAAATATTTTGTGTTCTAAAAACATTAGACACTGATCTGGGTCCCAATCTATTAGTTTTAACTACCTGTAAAGAGCGAATCATTTCATTAACTAGTGAAAGCAGGTAAATACAGTGGAAAATGCTTATCCACCAGAAAAAATTATGTGAAAAACAAGTCAATAAATTAATAAATATTACATATTGAGGAGATGTATTCTTCCACCTCTGGTCACTATTCATATGTTCTTTTATACTTGTTTTGAATGCTCTTTCAGTTTGACCAACGTAAAACATCGGACACAAGCCAATGTATACACTTTCTTTCTGAAGTAATTTCTGTTGTCAGTTTCCGCTAGTTAAAAAAAAATAATTGGGCTTGTGTATGTTGTCAAAAACTTGGCGTTCCGGGCTACTTTTGGAGATATGGCCACTCAAAAGTTGGGATTTGAAAAAAAGACCCTTTGAAAATTCATAAAACGACACCATTATTTCATACAGACATTCATTCACACATTTCAAATGTTTTCACAGAATAAAAAACTTTCATTTCACCAACAAAAACAACTTTTTTGAAAGTGACATGATATGAATAAATATTGCCCTATTTATTCCGTTATTATCAGAAATTATTAAAAAATTATCAGTGTTAAGACTTTCAAACTATTTCATTATATGCTAGGCAGTACAGTTTACGCATATGCAATGATACTGAAGCTATGATTGTTGAAGACACTGTATATAAGTTCAATATTTTTGACAGACACTTGTTTCAAGACAGTTCAATATTGAGAGATTTTATAGGTCAAGTTGAATAAAAGTTGCTTTTGAAACAGTATTGAACAGGTTTATTGAACCATTAAGTTCTACATTGGTCCTTCGAGCCGGATCTAAACCAGCGACCCTGTGAAGACTCAACTTCTTCACAGGGTGGAGGATGTGGAAGACAATGTATATAAGTTTATTATTTATTGTGACAGATTAGTCACTTGTTTTAAGACAATTCAATATTGAGAACTTTTGTAAGTCAAATTGCATAAAAGTTGCTTTTGAAACAGTATTAAACGGGTTTATTGAATCTAAAAGTTCCACATTGGTCCTTCGAGCCGGATCTGAACCAGCGACCCTGTGAAGACTCAACTTCTTCACAGGGTGGAGGATGTAGAAGACACTGTATATAAGTTTATTATTTATTGTGACAGATTAGTCACTTGTTTTAGGACAATTCAATATTGAGAACTTTTGTGAGTCAAGTTGCATAAAATTTGCTTTTGAAACGGTAATAAACAGATTAAACCAAAGAATGATGATTGAAGAACTAGCATACAAATTGAAACTTATTACAATGAAAACAGTACTCTTCTATCTCTGGTTCTGTGCGAAGCATTCGATAATGTTGAACATGAAATTTTATTTTAGAAATCACAAGGGGGAAAAATTTAGATGATTTCAGAATTACTTGTACAATAGAAAACAATGTGTATGAATAGAAAATCAATAGAGCATTATTGAAAAGATATCTTGTGGAGTTCCACAATGATCTACTCTGGGGCCAGTTCTGCTTCTCATCTTCATTGATTCAATGGCACAATTGAAACGCTATGTGGAAGTAGTTGTTTTCCGGCAGGCATTTATCAGAACCTACGGTGTAGGCAGTTGAGATTTCATTTCGAAATATTCATTTTCTAGTAAGTATGTAGATTGCCGGAAAAGATACAGTTTGGAGGAAATAAAATGAGTTACTGAAATAAAAACTTCAAATTTCATACGAAAATATTATGTGGATGTGTGTATAGAAATATTCCACTAATCAGCAGCCTAATTTCTTCAATTTCCACTACTTACAACTTGGTGGTGACATTTCAGTCACTTGCGGTTCCCAAGAAAAGTCTGAGTTGCACATGTCTCCTTCGCAGCAACAATAAAACAGATTATTTTTAGGTGTGTGAGCTCTTTCCACACATTTCTTTTGGTTTACACAGTCAGCCCCATTTAAAAAACAACCCTGCAACAAAAACATTATGAAAACAAGTTGATTTCCTATAAAATATTTGGACAAAATATTCCATTGGAAATATTCGTTATGCCAACACATTTTCCATACAAAAATTTTCTGTAAGTCGAATGAAATAGGCAATTATCGAAATAGTTGGACAAGAGATAGTCTAAATATTTAAAAGAAAACATTGAACAATTCAGTCAGTATGTTTTATTGATCATATAAACACACAGATTGTTTGTTTGCTTTATTCATATGTACATTTTCATAAATTTGGTTGTTTTATATGTGAATAACTATGATTCAGAAGTATTAATAGTGAGTGCAATTTCCAAAGCATCTGTATTTGTGAAAACGTTCAGATATTTTTATCATTCCATGATGAAAAGAGAAAAAACAACATACTTTCCAAGAGAATTGCCCAATCTAGGTCATATTTACCTTTTCACCTAGATAATTCCAACTATTTTTACAATCGCCCATATAATCTAATACAGATATTCAAATTTTGGTATTGTGTTCTCAGGTCCTTCTATTAAACACCACAAAACAGATCTGCACAAAATAATAACAAATCTATGTACCTTCAAAGATACGTTCATTGTACCATTCTGCAAAGACCATAAGGCATAGCAGTGGATTTGTTGACCGTCTACGCTCTGAGCACATTCTTCTACGGTCGGGCACCCTTCTTGCTCTTTACAGGTGCTGTTGTAGAATTCACATTTGGTAGTAATTGCAGAATGAGCTACCGCACATCCAACGCTGGGGACATCTAAGGAAAAATTTTTATCAAAATTCTAGATCCACTAATGTATCATTCTCATACCTTTACCTAATAAAAATACACAACACAAGGTAATGATGTAAAACAAAGTTTTTTCACAGAAACTCATGTTGACGTCAACAACGAAATAGTAAAAAATAGGATAATGAATGAAGAATGAAAATTACTACTATTTCTGAATACAAACATGGACAATTTGTCCCAGGTCAAGAAATTCAAGATCGCGCAAGTGATAAGCAACAGTAGTCATTTTCTAAGTAATTCACACTACATATTATGACGATGTCAAAACGACGATGAATTATTCACACAAATCACTAATTAACATTTTTACTTATTTATTTTATGCAATCTTTACGCATTTCAATTCAACACCTACAACTTATTTATTTTAGCTATATATTTTTCAGTGTTGCCAGATTACACTAAATAGGAATGGCAAAGACGCATGCAACAATGAATTCACTGATTGATCAATTCCAAACATACATAATTATCATTGGTCGACTATAAATACGCATTAAACAAACTTGGCTAATAAGATGTATCCAGGAAGAAAATGCGGACAACGCTGCGGTGAATGTATCAGAAAGCTGTTTTGGAGTCAACTAGACATTACATTAAATGCAATTTCATTATATTTCTTCAAAATTTCATGCTAGTTTTCTGCAAAGGGATTTCTGTAGATAAAATTCAGAACTATCAATAGTCAGTGTAATCATCCAGCGAAGAAAAAGTCACTTAGCACATGAACTTTCTGAGGTAATATTGGGAACCTGAAAATTTCATCGTTTTAAGCAATGTAAACAAGGTAAATCTGATGAGTTTTGAATAATTTGAATTTACCGCCTCCAACACAGGATGAGGCCCACAGAAACTTGAGCACTCATGTTTCTTCTGAAGGTATTCGGTGATTGTTTGCATTTCCGGTAACTTTTTGAACATGTCTGACGATATCTACATCGATTGTCTTTGTAGAAAACTCCACGGTGCCTCAATACGAACCCTGGAGACGATTAATGATTTTACGCTGCTCAAGAGCTTACATACTTGATCAATTAAATCGGCTGCTCTCTACAGACACTTTTTTATATTCACAGAACTGAAACTCTGGGTTTCAGTTTCGAAGCAATAAAAATCTAGAGATGTCTTTTCTATCCTTGTTTTGATCCAAACATAATATAAACAACTTGTGTTTATATACATAGGACCAGGGCCATAATCAAATCCTATCTGATCGACCGTTTTCGCGAATACCTCTTTCCATCATAAGGATACTTATTTCAGTTTCAGTATATACTTTCTTAGTTTGTGTCGACAGGTAAATTTCAAACATAGGCAGGGCCGTCATTAAAAATATTTTGGGAGGTCTGAAGCTGAAATTTCCCAACGTTAAATTATCAAATCAATATTTGAAATGAAGTGGACTGATTTTTGTATCACTTATTATGCATATTTGTTAAACACTTTAACACTTATTGTTATTGATAAAAAATATTGTCGTGAAAAGAATTGAGAATGATTGAATCGGTTGAATCATTTATTGAACGAGAACTGGCGACTGCCGCTATGATGAAGATGAATTACGAGATTATTGAACTTTTCCCATTTTCCATCACCGCTACACTAAGCACTGCCAACATCATATTTATCCACTTACTTGGGTTCATATTTTCTGCCTCCCATGAATAACCACTGCTTTACTGAATTAGGAAATGTTCTTGTCAGAGTTTAACAAGTTGGGAAACTCAAATCGTATTTAATTGTCCTTCATTTTTCGTTTCTCCTGACATTTCATATACAGCAATAATTTTCCCAATTTGCATATTGTCTTACCCACAAGTTCCCAACTTTTAGTCATTTTTCAATTATTGGGGCGTGTTCTACCTGAACATGGACGTCCTCATTTTCCATTCCTAATGTCTATTTATATTTGTGTTCGCTCCAAAACAGTAATTAGATTTCTTGCTTCTCGTTTGTTCAAAAAAATTTAAACCCAATAAATAAAAGTTAAGGACTGTAATGAATACGGCACATTGAAAAAATTCAAACAGTCTGTGTTTTGCGCGCTCACAAAATAAAAAATAATTCTACTTATCTACTGATGATGCTAACTTGGGTAACGAAACGCACATCGAGAGACATTATTTTGTTATGGTGTGGAAATTGTATTTAATAGAGTGAAATAGTGGTACAAACCTTCCTTTTTCAAAATTGAATACAGAGCTGTTTTATTTACTCTTCATTAGTAATAAAATATTACTTTTTAGCTGGATTGAAACAGATATAATAAAAGTTTTTTCAAAATCACATGAGTTGGTAAAACAATTTATAAATCAGTGTCACGCCACTGTCGACTTGACCTTGATATCTATGTCTCTCTCTCCTCTTGTCAGAGAGTGCCTCAGATATTTTATTGTTCTGAGGTTTTAGTTCTGTGGTCCTATAAAGTTATATTGACAGTGATGCCGATTGTCGGAGATTTTCTCAATTTCTAGTAAATTTCACAGTCCATGAGAAATAAAAAATTTGAATTAATTTTGGAAAACTATCAGTCCATACCCAAATCATTAAATCATCACAACAACTTGGAGATGAGACATATTTTCTTTTCTTTTGGAGTTTTATCTCAGAGAGTATATGTTGGGGTTAGGGCCTTTTAACAGTCAGAAATGAAAAACAAATGGATAATTTATTCATCAGTTATTTATATATTTGAACAATTTCGTCTTTAAAATTTTCATCACACTAGCCTTCACAGAAACGAAATATATCAATTCATTATCAATTTAAAAAAGACAGCTGCACCAAAAGTCGAATTTGAAAATGGATATCAAGAAAAATTAAATAAAACCAGCTATTTAAAAAAACAAACTCAGCTTAAAAAATATATATACTTTACATAATCTTTCGTTAAAACTATGACATAGACAATGCAGTGGTCAATCAAGGAGTATGAGATTGATATAGAATACCAAACTTTAAATTATTGCTGCTGTTGCCCCCTTTCTAATGTTATTTCGACAAGGGGAGTAGCATGGACCTCATCGTTAGGAAACAACGTGCCGACAACAACTATGGAAAATATGCCCGTGACCAAAATCAGGCCTATTGTCGCTGTCACTGTGTACATATGGGCATAAACGTACCTGAAACAAAGAATAAATTGCATATTAAGTTCTCCGATATTTTTCAAAATATAAACATTGCTGAAATGACACAGAGGGGTAACTACTGCAGGGTTTTCATAGAAGGAAACTAAATCTTTGAAACAGACTTTCAAACCAGGGAAACATACATGAAGTGATATCCTACAAGGTTCTGTCCTTAGGACGCTCTTATTTTTGTTGTATAACAATTTGACCCAACTGATTATATTCACATAAAAAAGGTTTCGCAAGTTTCAGGCGTTTTATGATTGGCAACACTGATATGTGACATATATTTTGAGAAGAAGAATCAGGTTAGAAAATTATTAAGATTTGTACTATTTTCATCATTTGAGCGTTTGTTGTGTATATTAATTTCATATTGTGTCCTTTGCTGTCCACTAGTTCATCATTTCAGTTTTGAAGCACAAATAAAACATGTAAATAAATATTTTGTTTTGACATTGTTTTTAACTCATTCATTTCGAGCTACCGAAGGGGCCTTGGACTAAGCTTTTGCAAAAGTTTCCAAAGTGTTTAAGAGAAGAGAGCATTTTGATTTATAAAATTCTACGTATTCCCACCCAAAACATCACATTTAGGATACAATTTCAAAGCTTGCAAGGTTCATCATATTTTCGTATGTTACAGTGAAGATGGAACCAAGTGTGTGAACGCTGATGTGGAAGTGCAATGACAAAGAAAGCGGGAAACTTCAAACGCGGGAAAATTCAAGTTTTTATACGTCTTCTTCTTAATATTATACAGCGAATATCAGTGTTGCCAATCATGAAACTCCCGATTATACCAGAAACATACGCCAACCATTTTAAAGTGAACATGGTCAATTATTTTTTTGAAATATAATCAGAATATGTTGAAGCATATCAATAGTAGTTTAAATATCCATCTAGGTGATGACGTAATTTCAAGATAACCCCACCAACTGCTATTAGAATTTTTCATTATGTCTACAAAATGTTCAATGGGGAATGTTCCTCCTAACGAAAATCAAGTGGTTTTCATAAAAGAAATCTAAAACAACGCATTTTAAACTTATCATTTCAACCTTTTTCTTCAAAAAATTATTTAAATACTCAAAAAAGAGGAATAAAATAATGCATTCAACATTTAAAGGGATTCGTTTCTATTTCACCATTTGGCAACATCAGTTATAGCTAATAAAGGACAATGAATCTGTTACCTGTATGAGACAAACAAAGATGACATATTTCAGAGGCGTGCTGTTCTGTTTACTTATGTTCCGAGTTCCGAGACATTCTGTGACATATGACATTTTTTGCACCTAACCTATCTTCCTCTATATAAATAAATAACAAAACAACTGTTGTTTATGTGGCTTGTGGAGGTGGTATTGAACTATAATTTATATTTTGCCCTAATTGTTGATTTATAAAGATACTTTTCCTTTTTTAAAGTAGAATATCTAGGTACATATAAATAATTTCAACTTGATATATTATATGCAAGGTAAAATATTTATAGGAATGGCAGGTAAAGTTCTAGGCGCTGTTGCCAATATGTGAATTAGAAACAAATCCCTTTAAAAATTAAAACCCAACATTTGAAACATCAATTTGAATACTTTTCGAAGTGAATTTGAAAAACTCATGAATTAAACTCAACTTTATTTTGTTCAAACTTGCATTTGCTGTAATAACCCAAATTGAGGAACATTCCCCATTATCTTCCAAATGTCAAGAGAAGAAATCTGCGAAAATACTTCAGTTGAAAAAGAATTTCAAGAATGTTTTCAGCATCAGTAGAGTCTAATCAAGACTCAATTAATGAGTTAGTATTGAAATGATGTATTTCTTGGGATTAATAAAGATCATTATTGCAATCACAACAAATTCTCATTCATATCTTCAAATCATATTACTACTCACCTGAAATACCAAGCCAGCAATAAAAACAAGCTGACCATTGCAAACAGCAAGCTTCCTAAATCCCATTCCCTGATTTGATTATTATTTTCCGCAGAAGGAGGTAAATTATTTTCCCCGAAGGAATACCCCTCCCTCGGACTCTCATGGATTTGCGGTTCACTGGGGGACGATTTTTTATTGTGAATGAGACAATGGACAACACAATCGTCCTCGAGGCCGCACGTTCTCAAAGTCTGCGTATCAGGTTGGAGAACGTGTCCTTTGTATATCAACTTTACTACTTTGTTTTCTGAAAGTTCGAGTTGGAAATGTCTCCTGAAATTCATTCGTGTTATTATCTGTAAAAAACAATGGTTGACGGAAATGTAGGGTTAGGCAAAGGTAACATCATCAGATGATGCACGGAAGGAAACCCTCAGACACTATTATACAACGTTCGTGTAAGTCCCTGAATTTGTGAATTTTTCCTTGACAAGCGGGAAAACCTTGTTTTGAGTATACTGAATATTTTCATGGATGTGTTTCTCAGAGTATTCGCTTACCCGAAATTTATAAAACCTAAAAAACTGTAACATCCGAAGTACCTCAGGGATCAGATTTAGGGCCGTTACTCTTCTTATTATTGAGGGCTAATATCTGCACATACCTGTCGAATTCTTGCACAAAGTTCATTTCTATCTCTTGAGCGGTTTTTGTAAACCACTTGTGTGAGAAGTCCCCAGAGAAAAAAGTCCAAAGCTGTGAGGTCTGGAGATCTGGGTGGCCACTCTATAAACGGACTACCACGGCCTATCCATCGGTTTGGAAAATGTTCGTTAAGCCATTGCCTCACAGCTCTGGCATAATGAACTGAACACCCATCTAACTGGACAATTAAATTTGATCGTTCATTGATTGGCAGCTCGTGAATAGCATCCCAAAACTCTGTGTTTAAAAATTCTAGAAACCTCTGCGAATTAATGTTTTCCTCAAAAAAGAAAGGACCAATTATTCGTTCGTTCAATATCCGACACGAGACGTTGATTTTTTGGGAATACTGGCTTTTACAGTTTATTACCCAGTTAGGATTATCCGCTGCCCAATAGCGACAATTCTGTGATGACACTACTCCATTTGTAGTGAAAGTGGCTTCGTCGGTATATAAAATATTTTTTAGGAAATTTCTATTGTTTAAATATTCCCCTTGGGCCATAAACAATATTCCAGGCGTCTTGCTTCGTCGCCTTCTTGAAGTGGGTGTAAAAATTTTGGCTTGAAAGGTTTGATATTCTTCGCCTTGAGACATCTCCGAATAGTTTCTCGTGGAATATTCAAATCTAAAGTGCCATTCCTGTTTCGTCTTTGTACAGGATTACTTTTTAACATCATTTTTGATACTGCACCAGTTTAATTGAATATTTTATTTATTTTATTTACCGTACCGCAGCTAATAAGAGGACGATCTGGATGTCTTTCATTAAATACTCTACAAACCTCTCTAGCACTTCTAACGTCATCTCCCGAAAGGCGTACAATTTCAATTTTCTCTTATACATACTTTTTGAAATCGTCTAGAGATTCTTTCAAATTTCCATCAACACTCTTCAGATCGTCGTTCAGAAATTTCAGTTTAATGGTAATATCATATTTTTTGTCGTTAGTATCTTCATTTTTGGAACACGAATTAGTCGAAGTCGAATCAACGTTTTTCGAGGAACTAGTGCACTCATTATTTTTTCTTTGCCTCAGTTCATTAGTGTTGGCATCCATGGTTTCAATAATCGCCTCTTCAGATCCTTCAGGATTGCTTGTACTTGCTTCTGGTTTGGCAACAGAAACCGCTTGTTCGGAATTCGGAATCATTTCTGGATTCGAATCTTCTTCAGGCATTGTTTCTGACACGTCAGTTCCTAACGGCAAGAAAAGAAGATTCGTTATCAAAAACAAATGCTAGTGAAATCATCTCGACAACATTCTGTGACCATTTTTGAAGGCCGTCGATAATTATAGCTACATTAAATAATAACTTTAATAATACTGATACTGATTTTATGACCATCTTATACTGTATTATAGAAGTACGATGTATCTAACTTTGTAAGCTGGTGTGATATGAGTTTATTTCAATTGAATATAGACAAATATCATAAATTTCCATAAATAGTCCATAGAAAATCAAGCAATCTGAACTGGAAACAACAAATACAATCCACAAGACATACCTTCTTGAATCGTTTCTGCTTGTGTGTGATTTGTTAGTCTTCGGCGGATCCTAATTCTTCTATTGACCATGAACAATGTTCTTAGATTTCTCTCTGAGACACCGGTTGACAGCCATGCAAAGTAACCTGAAAATAATTTAATAAAAATTATGTACATTCAATACAATGAGTATGTACCATGTATGTGCCATGTATGTGTAATAACAGGTTTAATCAGGTTTAAACAAATTAGGGTTAAATCAACAACTAGGAATTTAGAAAACTGGAAATTTGAGTATGCAGATTGTAATTTACATTTGGCAGTGAACCATTAACAAAAATTAACTTCTAGATTTTTTTTTGCAATTCTTCAAGGTGTTTTTTTCATTTTCAGGTTAGACTATGTGAAATACAGAATCTTAACTGACGAATCAATTATTGTTATTTTATTTTTCATGAACGTTGGCTCTTTACTTTTACCTTTGTTCACGGTTAAGATATTTTCATTGAAGGAAATTTCACTCCTTGACAGTGTATTATTTGGCAATCTAACTACATACTTTTTTTAAGACTGGCTACAGTCTCAGTTTCAATAATCCTAGATATAGGAACGTAAAAAGTCGCACCTCAATTTTGCCTTTTGAGCTAGACTAGATAACAAGGTCCAACAAAATTTGCATAGGAAGACATCAATTTCTTTTTGGTGAAAAAATCAATGGTGCAACATTACTCCCCGTAAATTCAATGCAAACAACTTGGTTTTTTAAAACATAAAGGGGGGCTTATGATACTTTCTTTAAAAGTATCAATTTTCTGTCCAAAAGTTGATTTATGGAAATCGAATCTGGCGTTACAGAGTAATTGGCAGTTTTAAATTCTCTTAAAGAGAAATTACAAACTATAAATATAATTTCTGTAAAATTTTTATGCAAAACTTACTTCAGTTTATTCCAATGAAGGATAAGGATGTTTACTTTCTGACAATAATGTCTTTTTATACAAATTCCAGCAAACTGGGTATCATTCCATTAAAATGTTGAGGTAGAGGGACTTTTTACATCTCCACTGTATTATAAAAAATAACTCACTCTGGGTTCTGTAATTATACCTATGCTTCTGTCTTAGTTGTCGTCTGATATTCAGACACCTTCTTAGTTGTTAATTGATTTCTCCCCTAATTGAATTATTGGTTCAGTCAGATAAATCCTGAGTAAACATATTTATGCAGAAATATCTTGCAATGTCATTTCTACATGATTGAGACAAATATAAAAACAACTCATTGTGATAAATATTTACCGATAACTATAACAGCAGCAGTTATAAACAAATAGATTACTTCCTCTCCAAATTCTGTAATCAGGGACATTTCTGTTCCTATCACCTGATTATGATGTTATACTCCTCCAGCTTGGGTAGGTTTCTAAACAAAAATAATCGTTGATTCTGGAAAGAACTTATTTGACTTTTTTTTCTTCGTAGCCAAGATTGACTCTACAAAAGGCACAAAAACCTCCAATATTGCTCTTACTTATATCAAGGAAAATGAAAACAGATTTCTCCAAAACTCCAAACGTCAAAAAATATCAAATACAATGACAGTCACATAGTGCAACGTTGCCAGATCACGAAAGTTCAATAATCGTGTAGCTGTAGATCAACAAAAAATATGGTTCGTGTTATTATCAAAACGTAGATCTTTTGTTTAACTTTGTTATCATTCTTTTTTTACAAGACGATGAGTCAACGTAACCATCTGATTTTGAAAACCCCAAAGGCCATGTCGCTGAAATTTTACAACAGGAAATAACAGTACCTATCTTACTGGAATTTGCGCATTGGTAGTGTCTGCAAAAAACTGAACAAATCAGTTTTTGCGATAAAGCCGACTAAGCTAGTCCGCTGTGCTACTGACCAACAAGGTCTATTGGCAATTTATTTTATACTTATTCATTATTCTCATATTTCGCTTAATAAATGCTTTGCAGTTATGGCAAAGATTTCCATAAATTTATAGCGCAAAAATGGAAATGACTGCAAACCGATATTTATAAGAATGGAAATATTGTCTGCACCATCATTATATTCGTTCAAATTTGTTAATTCTATGTCTTCGGATCGCCGATCGCCGTACTATAGATGTATTGAGTTGTATGATAATAAACGTATGTCTGGCTACACAGATACAATATGAAGTGTAACATTTTTCTACTGCATCTCCGATCCAAATATATACGATCTATGAGCTTAGTGATGTTCTAATTTTGCCCCTATACCCCAAGTCCAATAGACCGCTTATTAATAGCATTACTTTTAATTTGTTCGAAGATGACTTATATATGGTGAGCTATGAGAAATAAAAGAGCAAAAGAGGCTAAATTATGCACTTCTACAAAGGGACCTCATTCGATACTGTCTTTCAGATCAAATAACTGCGTACACAATACACAAGTAAAAATAGGCGAATGATACATTTTTTGAACTTTAAATGCCCATCACTATTGTTTGAATGCTTAAAGAGAACTTAGGCGAAACTAACAGAAACATTCTGTTATATTGTTTCAACCAAAAAAGGTTCTATCGCTTCAACCAAAAAAGGTTCTATCGCTTTGAATTGACCAATAGATCAGTCCATCTTCAAACAACTTTATAGTTTCAATATAATCGAGAGGTGTCGCATAAGCATTGTCTAATCCTTTAGACAATGGCATAAGCAGTGTCTAAAATCCTTAGACAATGGCATAAGGACATTGTTAAATCCTTAGACAATGATAAGGACATGGATGTTGAAATACAAAGTTAAATCATTTAAAGTGATCTACTGAAGGCTAGATGGTATTTAGTTGGTTTTCGTACTTTATAAACGATCCCAAAAGATGGCGGCGCAGAACTCAGCATATAAACATTAATATTTAGACAGTGACAGTTTGAAGCATTTTCCATTGGTGAAACCAGTGCAAATATAGTAGTTTTCTGTCCTCTGTTTCTCAGTACATAAATAAAAGATAGAAAAACACTGATTGTGCATCGGTTTTACTAATGGAAAACGCCATTAGTTGTTCGAAAACTCAATTCAAGCCCTTGACGGAACACAGAGTTACAGCTGCTCAAAAGTAATGGAGATAAGTAATCAAAGATCACAATTTTCAAAAAATTGGAAATACATTAATCTCGACCAGGTTAATCATTTTAGACAGAAGAATTTTCTAACTCCCACCCAAAAGTTTCACAATCCTCAAAAAACTTAAAATACATTTTGCAGGTCGGCGGAAATTTTTGCAGGTCGAGTCTCCCAGATATGATTCACGATCAGGTTACTCATTTTCGACAAAAAAATCAACCCCCACTCTCTGAGTAAGGAAAAATTCCACATTTCTCATGAAATTGAAAATAAACCTTGCAGGTCGGCAGAAATTCTTGCAGGTCGGGTCTCCCAGACCCGAAATGTGAAATTCTTTCATACTAAAAGGGAGGGGGTTGGAACTTTTTGTCGAAAATAATCAACCTGGTCGAGATTTATGTCTGGGAGACCCGACCTGCAAGAATTTCTGTCCTCCTACAGGATTACGAGAACAATGTCTACTGAGAACAATTTGCTGACCTGCTGACCTGCAAAATAGTTATACCCTAAAGTGTTTATTGAATACGTTAGAGAAAAACTGGAAAAAAATCGCTCAACATCATATAGTAATAGGCTGAAGCATAGTATAAAGATAATAAGTTTTTATACTCTGGCTGAAGAGCCACAAAATGAAAATTTGGATAAACTGAACAGCATAAATGAACGGCAAAACTTTCTAATCAACCTATAAGAAGACTCTGAACATTGACATCATTGGAAACGGAAATCTGAAAACCGATTGACGTTGTAACAATCCTGCATCACAGGTTAAAAATGAAACAAAGAGAAATATAAACAACAAACACACGCGAAGGCAACATTAAAATCAGGGAGCCGAATTTTCTCACACATATGCACTTGCATTATTTTACATGATTGTAGACAGGATACGTAATGCTTCAAGTGACTGGCCACGACATAAAAAGGGAGAAGAAGCGTTTTCAATTCAATGCAGCGGAAATTATTCTTGAAAAGGTCTTCTAGCAGGGGTCAACTCTAATCCCGTCAGGAGTACACTCGTACCCAAAAGTAATGAACCTTATTAACACAAATTTTTGGTTTTTCCGGCAAAGATAATGAACAGAATCTCTGGAGCACCTTAAAATACAATTTTCAAATCGATAGTATATGTGAAAAATATTTTGATTTTACGCAGTAACTTATCGGGGGTCAAACTAAAAAGTTTGCGCTTTCCACACGTGTATGAAGATCTCCATTACAATTTTCATATTTCTTAGATTGTGGAAAGTTTGTTTGAAGGTGATTGACAATGTTTCTGTGGGTACCCCCCTAGAATTTTTTTTGAAAAAGAGGGTTTTAAACCAACTTTAACACTTTTCATGATGATTTCAAAGAAATCCTTTTTAAATTCATGAATTTTCAATATTTTTATCTCTTTTATGATGAAGCAAAGTAATTGTGTTTCATCTAAATAATAGATAAACAACAGTGTAGAGCAATAGTTAAAATATATTTATATAACGTTTAACATTACATAAATGAATTTAACAAAATAATGCTCTAAGTTGCAGCACTAATATCCTATGTCCACCTCTGACCATTTCTTCGATAACTTCGTCACTGTTGATTGGAACTAGGTAATGAATTGACAGTAGAGCAAGTCCATTTAATCGTTCATTACTCATAGAATTCCTTAGATAGTTTTTGATTCTCTTGAGACATGAGAAGGATCTCTGTCTATATAGCTGGTCGAACTTCGGCCTGAGCAGCCGATCTCAAATGTATCGTTTGATAATCTATGATTTAAACAAAAGGACAAACCAACAATGGTAAACAAACGTATTCCAAAAACACTTTATTGTGAGATTTTCACTAAATTGTTTTACAAAAATACGTTAGTTATGGATTTTCATCAAGTATCGGCCGATTCCATCATACAACAATGGTATGATAATTTAATGTTTGTAGACAAGAGTAATGATAACTTTTCTTTCTTTCACCTGCTCCATACTTAATTTATTTTTTAATATGTTTTCAAATTTTCGTTGCGCCACTGTCGGGAACATGCTAGAGCATTTGAGAGTGCTTATTTTTCTAAAAAAATATTTGAAGCAGCTGCTTTTTCTTTCACATTCATAAGTTTGATATCAAATTTTGCAACATAGAGTTGATATTCATTTCTCAGGTTACAGTCATTGAAGTTATCAACCATATTATACTGAAAACATCTAATTTTCTCAAAGATGTTTTCAAAAACACATTGTGGGGAATCTTGTTTTCGATACAAGCGTAAATAATGTTCAGTTTTGTGTAGAGATGAACAATTTATATAACTATATAACTACGAAAGTACATAATAATGTTTATTACCATTCATAAAAATGCAAGTTTCTCTTCATCAATGTATCAACTTCATTTGTTAATTCACTATCTTCTCCAAAACTCAACTACACCATTTTTTCGATTTAGTATGCGAGGCATAATTTCTGATCTCGACTGTAGTTCCCATTGTACCCTGTCCCTGAAGACGACCTCTATTATTGTTATTATCACATGCTTTATTCCGTCTATTACATCATGTAGTTGTTTCTTTCATTATTACTCAACTCACTTTATTGTTATATGATCGAAATAGCTTTCCGGAAATTATTATTGCTTCGATTGGATTTTTCGAACCCGCATTAAAAAAGTAACCTTTGTATTAATTATAGTTGATTCTATAAACTTGCGATTAGAAGAACAGTACGTTCATTTTATTTTAAGAAGGAAATATTGACCCTCGAAAAAATAATATGAGCTTTGAAAGAGGACTAAAAAATGCATCTAATGATAGGCAGAAAGAAAATGTGAAAAACTTTGAATAAATTACATTTCAGCTGGGAAGAACAAAACAGAAAATCGCTCTCAATCGAGATTATTTGCTGAAGTAGACATTACCTTAGACAGATAAGGGAGTTTCGACGTAGCAAAGGCAAGATTTATTATCTGGACGAAACTTGGCTTAACGAAGGATAAGCCGTTGAAAAGATGTGACAAGACAATAAATAACATTACAAGTTTACGTCAGACATGTTTAGGAGGCTTGTAACCAGATTAAAGTCGCCTTCTGGGAAAGGAAAGTTAGAGAGACTTGGGTTTCCATGTAACATCCTGACTTGGTTAAAATCCTAATGAATGGTCGGCATTTGACAGTCAAATACAACAATAGCATTACCGAGGAACATGATGCGACATTGGGAGCTTCCCAGGGATCAGTACTGGGGCCTTTACTTTTTGTGGTATTTGTGTGTCACATGACTATGTTTGCAATGACCATCACTGGGTCCACACTGGAAGATGTACTAACAAGAGTCAAAGAGGTTATTGATGGATTTACGTCGTGGTGTGAACGCAGTTATTTAATATTTAATACTTCTACATCTGTTTGAATGGAAGTTTATAACAGAAAGAATAACATTCTAGGTGGAATTGATCATACTGATGGAATAGTGATGTCATATGATGTAAAATGTC